ATCATTAGAGTTTGGATCGGTTACAGAGTTATCCATACCAAGGAGAGGGATTACGTCATAACTCATGGGATGTAGGCGAGGTGGCTCTCTCTCAGGTTTTAGAATGTGGTACTGTTTGAATTTGTTTCGGTTCAAATAGCAACATAGCATAATAAACCCTACAGCTATTATAATCCATAGTATGATGGCTAGAATCAATATAACTCCTAGCATCAGATAAAATATTTCTTGCCCGAAGCTGGAAACTGTATTAGCACATTCTCCAGTAGTGCTATGAGCTCAAATCCTGGATAACAAGTACACCAATGAGATGATCCGTTATGCTCACATTTCTGTTCGCATCCACCATTCCTGATGTCACATGGGTTGCTAGGAGACAGACATATGAATGAGTCTACTGTGTTAACACACATTCTGTCTCCACAGGGGGCGGGAATACGAGAACATGAGTCTAGATCTACACATCTGTAGTCTGACACCTGTCCATATCCAGGAGGACATGCACTACACTGGTAGCTGTTAACTGTGTTGTAGCAGGAGAGATTAGAGGGACAGAGAGGAGTAGACTTATTCATACACTGTAGAGAAAGTGAGAGAGGAGGACATGACTCGTATACATATGGTGATGTAGCTGTTAGGTTGTTATATGGATACTGACAAGCAGGGGCTATAAATGGGAAATCGTATTTCTGTATAGCTACAGATATCCATTGGAGAGCACAGGAACAACAATTGAGAGGATTATCTGACACATCAATACTTGATAATTGTGGAAATTGTTGAAATGTTTGTAAGTAGAGATTTGTTAAGTTGTTATTCTTGAGAGATATGTAGCTTAGTGCATGAGAGTATGAGAACTGATTCTCTGAGATAGACTGAATGTTGTTATTATCTAAATTGAGTGAAGTGAGAGAAGAGAGATCTTTGAAAGCTAGTTCTGATATTCTGGAGATTGGTGGAGAGGAATCATTTATTTGTAAGTCTTTAAGTTGATATAAACCTCCTACAAATTCCTCTTGTATACTTCTGTTGCTATTATTTGAGAAGTATACGTGATTAATATGGAGATAAGTTAGAGAGTATAGATGAGTGAAGGATGGGAGAGATTGGAATATTACATTAGAGATACTTATCTTCTCGATTCGTGGAAAATGTGAAAAGAATGAATTATTGTCGATAGAATATTTCCCTGTAACTGCATTGTCAGTAAATAACGTTAGTGTACGTAGATTCTCACTATAATTTGTTGAAGTTAGAAATATTGATGAATTCTGTCGATTATTTATAAAAAGATATAATATATTATCAGCTATCTGGTCCAGTTTAATTTCTCCATCTAGTGGGATCATTATGTTTAACTCAAAACCTGTTAAACTACAGTTACTAGTACAATCATTGATAGCTTTATTTACTGAAGCAGTACTGCTCGTATTTGTTAGATTGCATATCAGTATCCTGCCACTATTCTTGCAGCTGAGAGCATTACTGGAGCATATATCTGTTATATCAGCATCCGCAATAGCACAGCTAATTATTGCCAGTATAAAATACATTAACTTCATATTTGCTATAACTATACTGTATGGACTAGTTATACCTGCAATATGTACAATATAAGTTACTATTGTTATGAGCCTAGATATTAATTACAAATACTCCCACCAGATTAAGTACATATTCAAAAAGTTTGGACAGAACAGAAGGCTGAAACTTTGTATAATAGAAGTAGATCTCACCACTCATGTGTTATCATTAACTATGAAAATGTATTGCAGGCTCTATGATAGAATAAATATATGTTGTATTAGGACAGTATTAGACGTAGGAAGCAAAAATCATTGGTGAAGCGAGGTATATTGTATCGGTACTGCATTAATAGAAATTGCGAATTATTGGTGCCGTACCAGCTCCCACTGCCTGTTATTCAGTATAGAAACCAACAGTATATACATAATAGGCTCTTGTTAAAACGGAAGACGGATAAGATATGATATTACCATTAATGCAAATAACATGAATATGTTGTGTTATGCTTACACATAGTAGTATAATGCTATATCAGTATGTTTTTATTCATGCTGTAGGACATTAAGCTAGATATCTTCTTACAATAGGAAAATTTAAATGTTACTATTTAAACCGACTCGAAGACCTATAACATACAAATAATATGAAGTTAATATATTTTATACTGGCAATAATTAGCTGTGCTATTGCGGGTGCTGATATAACAGATACAAACTTCAGCGATGCTCTCAGCTGCAAGAATAATGGCAGGATACTGATATGTAATCTAACAAATAAAAACAGTGCTGCTTTAGTAAATAAAGCTATCAATGATTGTACTAGTAACTGTAGTTTAACAGGTTTTGAGTTAAACATAATGATCCCTCTAGTTGGAGAAATTAAACTGGACCAGATAGCTGATAATATATTATATCTTTTATAATTAATCGACAGAACTCATCAATATCTCTAACTTCAACAAATAATAGTGAGAATCTACGTACACTAACGTTATTTACTGACAATGCAGTTACAGGGAAATATTCTATCGACAATAATTCATTCTTTTCACATTTTCCACGAATCGAGAAGATAAGTATCTCTAATGTAATATTCCAATCTCTCCCATCCTTCACTCATCTATACTCTCTAACTTATCTCCATATTAATCACGTATACTTCTCAAATAATAGCAACAGAAGTATACAAGAGGAATTTGTAGGAGGTTTATATCAACTTAAAGACTTACAAATAAATGATTCCTCTCCACCAATCTCCAGAATATCAGAACTAGCTTTCAAAGATCTCTCTTCTCTCATTTCACTCAATTTAGATAATAACAACATTCAGTCTATCTCAGAGAATCAGTTCTCAGACTCTCATGCACTCAACAACATATCTCTCAAGAGCAACAACTTAACAAATCTCTACTTACAAACATTTCAACAATTTCCACAATTATCAAGTATTGATGTGTCAGATAATCCTCTCAATTGTTGTTCCTGTGCTCTCCAATGGATATCTGTAGCTATACAGAAATACGATTTCCCATTTATAGCCCCTGCTTGTCAGTATCCATATAACGACCTAACAGCTACATCACCATATGTATACGAGTCATGTCCTCCTCTCTCACTTTCTCTACAGTGTATGAATAAGTCTACTCCTCTCTGTCCCTCTAATCTCTCCTGCTACAACACAGTTAACAGCTACCAGTGTAGTGCATGTCCTCCTGGATATGGACAGGTGTCAGACTACAGATGTGTAGATCTAGACTCATGTTCTCGTATTCCCGCCCCCTGTGGAGACAGAATGTGTGTTAACACAGTAGACTCATTCATATGTCTGTCTCCATGTGTCATCAGGAATGGTGGATGTGAACAGATATGTGAGTATAATGGATCATTTCACTGGTGTACTTGTCATCCAGGATTTGAATTAGCAAATGGTACGAATAATACAAGTACATGTGGATTAATTACTAATGATAATATCTCATATCAGATCGCTGTAGCATACTCAATTACAGCAATAGTTGTGATTCTCTCATTAATACCATGGATAATATTAGCTACAAAACGATACTATCTCCATAGAAAGTATAGAATTCATGAACGAATGAATATTGCTGAATGACCACGGAATAGAAATGGAAGACATTTTACCTCAAACTGTGAATGAAGACTAATTAGCAAACATTATTTCTTGAGAATGAATTCTTGCATGATAATAAATTTTATATTAAGCTCATTTTGTGTGGATAAATATGGTGAAATGTTTACACCTGTTGTTTGTTTGTTATAAAAGTATAAGAAATATTGACATTAGAGCGAATCCCAAACCAAAAAACTTGGTATTGTACGAATTTACAAACTTACATTTGCTTTAGAGATATTACTTTTCAGATCATCCAATTCTTTCTTGACAGAATTAATTTTTTTCTGCTGTGCTTGAACCTTATCAGCTCCTACTGCATTAATCCGTTCATCTAACTTCTCTACTTCAGCTTCAGACTTAGAGAACTTGGTATGTATTTGATTATACACGTCCTGACATTCCTTGTATCTTTTCTCTAGCCTCTCTACTTCCTTAGGATCCACAGTAACTCTGTTACTCATGAGCTCATTCAGCTGGGTTTTGTAAACTTCACATTGTGCAGAACAGAAGTCAATATCCAGGCTAGCTTTCTGTAATCTACTCTCATTCTCCTGTACTTCAGTTTGTAGGAGAGATAACTTGCTTTCAGCTACTCGCTTGCGTTTCTGATACTCTTCCAGTTCATGCTTTAGCTTAGCTGTATCTTTCTCAAGACTTTCAATCTGAAAATGAGTGGAAAATAAATTCCAAATAATGGGTTAAGTAAACACAAACCACAACAAAAATTATATTTTTCCACCATTAATTAGATATATTTTGCAAACGAATTTGCATCATAAGCCCTCAGTATAACACCTCATCAAGTACACACTCAGTAGGAGCAATATGCTGTAATACAGCTCATCACAGGGCAATTCTATACACGTAGCGTAACGAGGAATAGATAAAACAAGTAACACATTTAATAAGGGCAGTTATAAATGCGATTACGTGCAACACTAATCTTGTATCCTATTTGGATTGACATTTCCTTTACTTGGCTAATACGCGTATCCGAAAGGCCGGTAAGCTAATCAGTTTAGGAATTACATATTATCAACACAAGTTTCTCTGGCAGAGATTATGTTTGCAAATATTAACAATAGATTGTGCCAGAACTTATGATAATGCATATTATATACAGATTGGACATAAATAGGGACATAAATACAATGATAAGTCAGTGTTTTCAAAACTGCTACTATACACATACACATTCGCAACGTCAGTCTTATCTCTCTATAGAATAATACTAGCAAATTTGTGTATTTCTAAAACAAAAACATTCAATTATTTTGTAGCAACTTTCTTAAGATGTTTTTACAAAAGTCATAACAGTAAGAATTAATAAGAATCTTGGTTCGTTAGTGTAGTGGTTATCACGTCTGCTTTACACGCAGAAGGTCCTGGGTTCGAGACCCAGACGAACCTTGCCTTTTTGATTAGTTTCATAAAATTATGACGTCATACTCAATTCTTACTTACTAGCATGACTGCGAAGCCTCCCTAAGCTCAGGGGATGTACCTCATTGACTACTAGTTTAGGTATACGCTCCCTCAATACTAGGGCGTAGGGGTACCTATCCTCTCTGACCCTCCCACTTTCGGCGCCTATGCGTATTAGTAGCAATTCTTCGTCTTGAAAGTAATTAGGAAGGAAAGAACAATGAAAAAGATAAGAACCTGCACAGGGCTGAATTCTTGTTGAATGTTAGCTGACATTCTTCCTCTAGAAACCTGTTTCCCTCCCCCTGACATAGTACCACTCTTATCCACCACATCTCCACTCAGTGTCACAACTCTATATCTCTTCCCTTCAGTGCCTATCCCCATACCTTGACAAGATAGATACACCAATAAATATACAACTAACTAGAATAAATTGTTGTTGTTTAGCTTACCGATACGTGTAGCTTCTTCTAGGTTGTTAGCAACTAGTGTGTCTTGTGTTACGAAATATAACGCAGGTATATATGCATCATTTTGTATCTGAAAAGGAGTAGAGTTTAGAATGGACAATCTAAGTTACCACAAATACGTTATTGATAAATACAACTCACATGAAGAAGATCAAATAACCTGGGAACGTTCTCAGGTCCGTGAAATGGTTTCATTGCCTGGGCTCTATTCCTTTCCATCCGTTCTAAGACTGAGAAAGTAGCTCTACCCAGATCATGCTCCTTCAGGAAGTTGATACATTGTACACTGGTATCACCTGTGTCTAGTAAGATATTCTCTAAAGAAGGACATGCAGTGCTGATGGCTACGTCATACTTCTGGTCTATGGAAGCTAGAGAAACAGGATACAATAATTACAAGTAGTACAATATTTGAAAAAGTGGAAGGTAAATGTCTTAAGCTGAGATTTTCGAGTCAATATGTCACTTCCTCCAATGACTGTTTTTCAATGATATTTGATTATAAGAATATGCCCAAAAGTTGTTTGTTAAATAAATTTCTCCTGAGAAACCCAAAAATTTCATTCCATCATAGCGATAAATACGGAAATATAGCACAAAAATGATTATTCAAGAAAATTTATCGTTGAATTCCCCACCTAGAGAGGAAAATTTCAATGGCGTGAGGCATATTTTTTTCTAAATTATGCCCCACTCCCCGCTTATAGAGTTTCTACTGTGTATCAGTTGCTAGTTGGGCATATACATTCAGCTGCTATCATAAAATATTTTGTAAATTTGTAATATCCAGATGGGCTAATAATTAATTCCAAAATTCCGTAAAATTCAAGATTCATCTAAATCCAAATCCTCATCATGTACCAGGTCCCCTTCATCAGGACTCTCTCCCCCTACACCATAGATATCATCCTCTATTTCATATTCATATTCAGGCTGTACGGCGAGGTCTAGTCCTAATTTAAGCTTGGTGCCCTTTCCACTTTGTTTCTTGAGTTCAGTAAGTTTGTCAATCGTCTTTTCCTTCATTTCCCTTTCTCTTTGCTCACTAATCTTCTTCCTCCTGGCTAAATAATCCCAGTACTCAACTCTTCCCTTATCTACAGCAGCTAAGAATTCATTTATACCAGCACCAGTCAGTGAGGATACTCCCACGCTAGAAATATTAGAGTAGAACTCTTCTAGTGCTAGACTCATGGATTGTACAAGATTAGACATAAAGCTGGTCTCCTGGGATAACGCCTGCCGGAACACAGTAAAGTCTTTCATCCATTCCACAGCAAATCCGTTATCAATAATATCACACTTATTCATTACCAGAATGAATGGTAAAGTAGTTTTGTATAGGATAGAACAGGCATTCAGCATATTTGACATAAATGTAGTAGGATTTACACTACGAGATGTGTCCAATACATACACCACGATGGTAGGGAGTGTCAGACCTAGTGTGTCTGTTATTATAGTACCGGAGGCTGACCATGTGAATACCTCAAGTTGTCCTGGAGTATCGAATATAACCAAACTGTGTTCGTTAGCTCTCTTCTCTATGTATTGTAGAACTTGATCGAATTGAGTGGAGAATAAGTTCAATGCAGTCATTATACCCCCGTTTGGACCTAATCCATACTGCTTCATTACTTCCTTATAGTTTACTGTATCACGGATATCTATATTGACTGGGTAGGGGAGTTTAAGAACTGCTGGGTCTAGGTTTATGACGTAAGGAGGTGCGGCTTTAGAATGAAGATGTGCAGTTAATCGCTGTACAAAAGTAGTCTTACCAGCTCCCGCCATGCCGACCACTAGGATGCAGGGGGTAGGGGAGAGGGTCTTGTTGGGACCTGATGAAGTATCTGGGGACGCTTGTACCTGGGGTGTGATTATGTCACGAGGAGGCTCATTTATTACAGTTTTCGTAGCCATTTTAGAATTAAAAGATTTCTTTAGCAAAATTGAATAAACATTTATAATTCAAGTACAATAGTTTCTAACAGAAACTTTCTAACTGATTTTCTGTTGTAGAATGAGGGTGTATATTAAATAGATAACATTAGTTACACTATGTTCTACTTACCAAGATCTCCAAGTCTGCCAATAATCCCTTTTATGTGACCAGCCTCCTTTGCCATCATTAAACCCTCTAACAACTTCCCTAACAACAGAATGGTAAAGTAAATATGTACACCTGAATGATTACAATTCAAAGGTTATGGATCTTAATCATAGAGATGTTACTTCAGGTAACTGAACCTTCTTATGAGATAAAATGAACCCAGTTCTTTATGCACTCTATATATAAATATCTAATGAAATAAGTTGCAATAACCTCTAGTTTTGTGAGCTGAGAGAGAAGATCTCCCTTCCACCAATTGACGCTGTGTAGCCTCTAATTTAGGAGCTAATGTAGTCTCTATTTGTGTGTACTGATCAATCTCTATCTCAAAGTTATCTATCTCCTTCCTCTGTCTAGGAACTTTTTGTTTCAATTCTTCACAAAGCGATCTGTTTGCTGCAAACAAATATAAATTTCATTAAACGTAGTTAAATTTAAGAATTTTGTATTTTTCCCTTAAAATATTCACAAATATTGATTGTATCTATCCCAGTACATAACACAATGACTAGTGCAAAAGATGCTCAAGATATATTAGCCGGAAGAAAAGGTGAAGAAAACCGCGAAATAACTAATACAAGTCTGAAAGAGCAAGCTCTCTCACATGGTCATAGTAAGAGAGTTAAGAAGAGAACTACTGGGGCTGCATTACTACCTGACGGTACTAGCAGAGAAGTAAAAGCTCTCAGAGAAGGAGAGGGAGTACAGAAACTCCTCCCAGATATAGAAATAGACACCAGTCTAGGGTATAAACACGTCAAAGCTAAATTAGGTATTCAAAAAGTTAGATCTTGGAAATGGACACCGTTTATTAACCAGGCTCGTACAGACAATGCTATTCTCTATCATTGGGTACGAGCTGGGGAGGAGAACAAGAAATATCAATTCGCTAGACACAATGATAGAGTAGGAATACCTGAATATACGGAAGAGGAATATAAAATATATTTAGAGGACTCTGAGTGGAGCATGGAAGAGACTAAGCATTTATTGGAGCTATGTGATAGATTTGATCTGAGATTCATTATTATTAAGGTAGCTTGGTTAGATATATAGGTATTTGGAATGTGATTAATGATTCTCTTTTAGGATAGGTATGATATAGCCAGATTTCCCCCTAGATCAGTTGAAGAGCTGAAGGATCGCTATTATACAGTATGTAACTGTATAGTCAAGTTAAGGGCTATACCAGGAGAAGACCTCTCTGAGTCACTAGTAGCATATGATGTAGAACATGAAAAGCTGAGGAAGGAGCAATTAGAACTTCTATTTGGTAGAACTCAGAAACAAATTGAAGAGCATGATTATCTAGTGGAGGAAGTGAAGAAGGTGGAATATAGAAGGAAGGTAAGTTCAGACTGAAATACAGTAAACTCAACGAACACGGATATATAGAAATACTCGCTTATATGGAAGTCTGAAATTGTGCAAATATAGTCCCAAACCCTCAAAGTAACATACAGTTAATCGATTATAACAATTCAGCATATATTATATAGAAGTAATTATCGCTGTCCCTTGGCTTCGATATAGCGGGTGTTAACTGTACATGTGTATATAGGAAAGAGAGAGAATAGCTCAAACAGCACAGAAATTAATAGAGCAAGTAGAAATTAGTGACGATAGGTGTTCTGATAAGAACAAACGTAGTAGCACCAGCAAGAAGAAGGAAAAGAGTAAGAAGGATAGAGATAGAGACAGAGACAGAAGCGGGAACATCACAAAACATCTGAATAAGATAATCGAGGAGAGAGGTGCAGGTCCATATCTCCGTAGTTACAGACTTAAAGTTCCTAATACAATGACTAACAAACGAGCTAAAGCAATGGAGCAATTACTAGATGAATTGGGTATAGGAACTAAGCCAATTGCTACAGAGAATGTTACTACACAATTTAACGTGCTCAGAAATAATGTATTATTACTATTGGAGCTGAAATCTGCATTGCTATCTGCCGAATTTGAATGGGGAGCTATTAAACATAAATACGAGACTCTACCTGAGTCTGGTAGTATGACAGATGTTGAGAACTTTCTAGAATATTCCATGGATGAGGGAGAGGGTAGTGGATCATTTCCAAAGCAGACATCAAGTCGTAGCTCTACCCCAACAACCCGTAAGAGGAAAGGAACCACATCCAGTCAAGAACTACCCAAGAAGAGTAAAGTAATTACTACAACCAATTAGCACATAATAAATTAAGATATATCTCGTGTTATTCTTATAACGGGTATTTACCTTATAGTTATATTGTCAAAATAAAATTATTAAAATGACAATAACACTGAAATATGTTTGGAGCATACCTTGTAGTTTCTTCTGAGAATCTTCCAGATTAAATTGTTTGTCTTTTGTTTGACTTTCATGATCTCTGACCTGTCTCATGTATAAGTCATAC